AGTCGTATATGGCGGCAGATCATCAGTTTTACATTCAGCAGATCGTATACTGTGTTTCATTTCAGTGACTGCAATCCCCTCTATGTACCCACCAGTTATCCCACTTCATCCCAGTGATTGCTGTTTTTGTTCAACCTTTTTTTCCAACCCTTCTGGATTTTGTCCTTAGATAATGTCCTTTTGCTCTTGAATAGTTGACCATCCCATGGTGTGCTATACCTCACAAGTGTTGTTGCCCCTGTGTGTACTTATCTAGTGCATGGCTGGAAATTGAGCCATAGGATGAATTCAGTTGCAGATCTGAAGGTGACCAAGGGCCACAGTCTCAGGCTCTCTCAGTCTCCTTGTGACTAATAACCAAGATTAGACATTTTGACGGTGGTGATCATTTCTCCTTTTTGACTGTTTGGAGAGATTTCAGGAGATAATTTAAAATAAGATATAACTATAAATACTTAACTTTTACTGGCCAATGAGAGACCATACATTTGTGTCATTTGGAAAACCGTTTGACCTAGCATTTTCCCTGTTGAGTTTCAGGTTAATCACTCCAAGTATTTTCTCGACTGTTGTTTCCTATTGTTTTATAATCTTCTGTTCAGATTATAAAAGAAATTCTTTTGTTGCTGTTGTTGTTGTTTGGTACTTCTGTACAACAGAGTGAACCACTGCCCGGTTCTGCGCCAACCTCACAGCTCTTCCTGCTTGAGATTATTTCTAGGTCAAGTTACCATTAGATTTGCCAAGAACTAAGAAATCAATAGCACTTTTGTTTAAACCCTGTCAGTAGATACTTAATAAATTTTGATAGTGTCATTATTTTAAATGATTGCTAAATTAGCAGAAAACTGTGACTCATTATTATTTGATTGTTTATTCCATGCACAGTGGGTTAGACCGGGCCGTAGACGTGTCAAATCTTTATTTCTTTGCTTTATTCTATTCTTGTGGTTTTCAGTGTCATCAACGTGACTAAGATTGCAAGTTTGCTTTCCCTTCAGCTCCCTTTTTGGTTTGGGTGCTTTAACTCCTAAGTGTGCTCTGAGGTAGATTATACCTAAATTTCGACTGGTGTCCTCAACATTTGGCCATCAATTAACTCCTATTTTAATATAACTTTTCTTTGTGTTCTGACTGTATCTCTAGTTCTTTAGGTACACGAGCTTAGTGTTGACCCTTGTCTGCCTTCTTACACTCATGCTTGGCAACCTCCAACTTTCTCCAGTTCTCTCAATCGCCACTCAAGCTGTACTGCCCTTTCTTGACTCACTGCATATTCAGTGGAAGAGGCCTTAATGAGCTTAACTGACTGACCCGGGCAGTTGATAAGTTCTGACCCTTAGTTGCCCATGCTTTGCTTACACCAGTTAAATTATTGTTACCAAGGATCAGTTTTGATGTTTCAGACCTGTTTATGCCAGTTCTACAGGTATTATAATTAAGTCATTTAGTTAAATAGTATATGGATAAATGAATGAGAAAAGACAATTGTTTTGTTTGGAAATTAAGTTGAATGTTTTAGAAAGGCAAGTGACTTTTAAAAGGAAATGATGTTTCCTTTTAAAGGAAGGTGTGGGTGTTGTTCTTAAGTACTTGGAGTTGGTTGTTAAGTGTGTGGAGTTGGTTCTGACTCACAGTGAGTGACCCAGTGTAGGGTTTTGGAGGAACACCTGGTGTGTTTCAACTGCTGACCTTGTGGTTTTCAGTCCAGTGCTTATCCTACAGCACCACACCAGTATATAAGACCAAGAATGGCAAATCTTTATTGCTTCACAAGGGGCTGAGTTCTCTCCTTTGTTGTTGTTGTTGTTAAGTGCCGTCCAGTCGGTATCGACCCATAGCAACCCTGAACAGGGTTTCCGAGGCTGTAAATCTTTACGGGAGCAGATCGCCTCATCTTTCTCCCGTGGAGCAGCTGGTAGTTTCGAACTGCTGACCTTGAGGTTCGCAGCCCGATTCGTAACCACTACGCTACCAGAGACCGGAAATTGATGCATTATGGGTTGGTGTCAAAACTCTAGGTCTTGTTGACCCAGTTTGGTGGCTTACACTTGTTTATAGAAAATTATGGTAGCCTTGGACATTGAAAAGTAATAATAACTGCTTTTATTACATGAGTTTATTGGTTTTAAATGAAAGCCATTGGCTTTTAGTTATTGAGGCTAAGGGGACGTGCTGATTTCTTATTCAACTCCCCTCTGTCTTCCCCCGTCCCTTCCTAAGTTTTATTAGCTGTGGCATTGCCAAGTCATGGTCATCCTAACCCCAATTTAGTCTTCACCCTGCAGTTAAGTAGATCCAGTGCCTACTACCAGTCTTTTACTGTATTTTTTCCCAGTTATCCCTTGGTTTGCAGAAGTGCTTACTTTTGTAGATCCCTCAAAAAGGAAAGAAATACTCATGAGAGCAGTAGTCCTTATCCTGTTACTTTTGATCAGCAATGAAGTATAAAATCCTGGGGTCACACTTGTCTCCTTGAGAATTCTGTAGGTAGTGTTCCTTTTTTTCTGCTAAGACTTTATTCGTTTTTAAAGTGTTTGAGTTTTTGCATGGTTGTAGAAATCCAGAAACCTTACCTGTCTACTGTTCTGGGTCAGTTTGCTCTGGGATGCAATGTGTGCTTCTTTGATTTCAGGAACATTTAAAAGTTGTATTTTGTATTTTGATGTTTTCTTCGTGAAGTAATTTTTCACATTTGTTTAGTTCCATCCTTACAGTTCTCTAGTCTGCATATTTTGCGTCTCCTTTGTAACGGTTATTTCCTAATTCTTTTAACACTCCATCTACTTGCCATTTACCTCCATTACTATCCTCTACCCACTGTGTTTCTTACTGTGCTTTCTCTGCTAGCGTAGTGGTTACGAATCGGGCTGCGAACCGCAAGATCAGCAGTTCGAAACTACCAGCTGCTCCGTGGGAGAAAGATGAGGCTTTGTACTCCTGTAAAGATTTACAGCCTCAGACACCCTGTTCAGGGTCGCTGTGGGTCGGAACCGACTCAAAGGCACTTAACAACAACAACTTCTCTCTGATGTGGGGCTGAGGTTAATGCGCTGGACTGCAAGGTCAGTTTGAACCGCAAGGTCGGTGACTCAAACTCACCAGTAACTCCTCGGAAACCCCTAACAAGTCACTCTGAGTCAGAACCGACTCAATGGCACTAACAATGACTTCTCCCTTTTGCTCCATCCAGCTTCCCCTTCATTTCTGGAGGGTTTTTTTCTTCCTCTTCCACCCTGATCTCTGCTGCTGATAACAAGTCTCTTGTTTTCTTTTCCCTCTCTCCCATTAACTCTTGCCTTTTTGCTTTGAGCCCTTGCTTCATAAAAACAGCCGTTGCATTAATTTTTATTTTTATTTTACAAAAATACTTTATTACAGTTTTATCTACTCCATGGCAGTGCTTGTAATATGTGGTGTAAGTCTGCCTCTTGGCTTTCCTGTTTCTGTTCTAGTTTTTTCTGGTTGTATCTTTATATAGATTCTGGGCTGATTTATTTTTTCTAACTTATCCCTACTATGTATGGTGTGGGTTTTCCAGGGACCAATGACTTACAGAATGCTTGTCTAGGGGAGGCGTCCAGGTTGTGTTCCCAGCTGGCTACAGTTGTTCTCAGCATTCAGGGTTCTTTGTGAGCTCCTTTATTTATTTCTGCGCAGACAGTGGAGCCTGGCTTCATGACATTTTGTCCTCCTCCATGCAAAGGCCATGAGACCAGATGCATTATACAAACACAGTGTAGTTGCCAGGAACTTGTTTGGTACTGAGGGTGTGTCCTTCACCTACAGCAAGTATGTTTTTGCAGTTTTGTCTGAGATCTCCAGCGCTTGTATTCATTCTTTGTTATGTTGTGTTGTTGTTATTATGTGACGTGGAGTAGGGTCTGACTCATAGCGACCCTGTACAGGATTTCTGAGGCTGTAAATCTTTACAGGAGCAAAATCCTCATCTTTCTCCTGCAGAACAGCTGGTAGTTTCGAACTGCTGCTGACTGTGAGATTAGCAGCCCAATTTGTAACCACTACGCTACTTCTCTCTGCAGTGTTCTTTAATTTATTTTGTTGTTGTTGAGAATGTACACAGCAAAACACAGACCAGTTTTACAAATTCTGCATGTACCGTTTAGTGACAATGATTACGTTCCTCAAGTTTCACAACCATTTAATTTGAAATATGAAGTCCCAGCCAGTGGACCCCTGTGACTGAATCAGCCGGGACTTCCAATGGCAGCTTTCCTGCCTTGTGGGAAACAGTGGATGAGTAAGCTTTACGTCAGCACAGCAGTCAAGGGTTCTGGGGCTCAGCTTTCTTTAGGGTTGGCTGGATGCCAAGTGCCCAGATGTTAGCCTTGTGCTTGATGAGTACTTACTCTGAGTTGGGTCTTGTCTAAGGTTCTTGTGTAAGATAGGGAATGGGGATGGGTACCGAGGAATAGGTTCTGTTTCCCTCTAGCACGGTAGGCTACAGAATCTGGCTTATGGACCCTGGAAGAGATTCCTTCTCAGCTGCTGTATAGGTGTTGTTCTGCCATAGCTGGACTTACTTAGTGACAATAAATGTTGAGCATATCAGTGTTAGTAATAAATGCTGTCAGTCACTCACTTAGAGCCCAGTGTGTACCAGGTACCAGGCTAGGTGCTTTACACACGTATCTCCTTCAGCGCTGACCACAATCCCAGAAGGATTCGCAAGCACCAACAACTAGCAGAGATGGGATTTACACTGGCTCTGTCTGACTTCACAGTCTGTGCTCTTACCACCACCTCACTACCTTGAGTACCTTCAGCTGCAGCTGCCTCTTCTAGTGCTGATGAGAGAGCTTCATTGTAATAGGCCGAGACATCAGAGAAATGCTGTGGCCTCACTTGAGGTTAGGACTCAGGACCTAGTGTGGTGTCTGGCTTCTTGCTGCTGCAGGAATACTGTGAGGTTTCCTACCAGGCTTTACCCTGAGCTCTACCCAGTGCTCTGACCCTTCGTATTTTTGCTTTGCTTCCAGGTGCACTACATCCTTCAGGAGGTCGTGATGGGTGGGATGGTGTTGGAAACAAACATGAATGAAATTGTGGCTCAGATTGAAGCTCAAAACAGGCTGGAGAAATCTGAGGTGAGTAAGCAATTTAACTCTTACCCTCACTGGTGAAAGACAGACCTGGGTAGAGGGAGGAAGGCCTACGTGTGTTTGTGTTGCTGTGGGGACTTGGGCAACATTTTATAGAGATAAGACCTATAGGTACTGCTGGTTCCATTCTAAACCATCATAGTAAAGCTAATAGCAGAAAGCAAGTCATGTGATGTGTTTGGTTTCCCGGTATATAGCAAAGTTATTTTTACTAAATATGACACAGAGGCACAAAGTGAGCACATGCTGCTGGAAAAATTGTACCAATAGACCTTCTTGAATTGAAATCTTGAAAGTTGCCACACAACCTTCAATTTAAAAAAAAAAAAAAAAAAATGCTGTGAAGCACAATAAAATGAGGTATCCCTGTCCTCATCTTCCTTCTTTGAGTTCTTCAGAACTGACTGAATTGAAGGTCAGTTCAGAAAATTAAACAGATAGAAAGGAGGGCTGGAATCTCAGATTTTTCAGGCTGGTTATGTGACTGGAAAAGCCAGATGGAGGGAGGAGGAAGGCTAACAGCTTCAAGTGTGGGGAGTTAGGACCGAAGTTTGTGGTTTGTAATTCTTTTTTTTTTCAAAGTCACACGTTCCCTGGAGGGACCCAGAATTCCCTTCTCCAATTCCAGTGTGGCTTCCTACTTTTTGTGTTCTCTGAGTCTGACCTCCTCGCTACTGTTTCTGGTGGTATCTTTCAGACCTAAGCAAAACCCATTGCCGTCAGCACCATGTGGGAGTGGGCTGAGGTAGTTATTTTAAAAGCCCTCCCAAATACTGCTGTTGCTTTTGATAAAGCTAGCTGTAAATAAGGAAATTGGTATTGCTGAGGTCTGAAATCATGCCCATGAGTTCAGACTAAGAGTGGTCAATTTCCTTTATGTCTTAGGCTGAGTTCTCGAGAGGAGCAGAACCAGCACCACGTGTATAAATACATGGTGTGGCACTGCAGGGCAATGCACTGGACCACAGGTTGATTTGAATCACCAGGTTGGCAGATCAAACCCACCAGCCGCTCTTCAGAAAACCCTAGACAGGCTCACTGTGAGTTAGAACCCACTTGACGGCACCTCATAATAACAGCATTTCAAGGAAATGGCTCAAGCAGTTGTGGAGGCTGGCAAGTCCTGAATCTGTGGTCAGGTGTCAGACTGGAGGGTTCTCCTTACTCAGATGACTGCCAGGGCTGATGAACTCAAACCCGGCAAGTCAGATTCATACTGCTGGCTCGTGACCCAAGAACCAGAGGATAAGTTGGATGTAGGCTCAAGAACATGCAATATATGTTGGGTACTGGCCACACCCTCAAAGAAACTCCCCTTTTAACTGATTTGCTGCTCACATCAGATCACAAAGTGAAGGGTGATTACATACTACATACCAAACCACCAAGAATCATGGCCTAACCAAGCTAACGCCAAACCGTGACCATCACATCGTATTTCTAGGTAGCCTTATAAACGCTAATGTAGCTTTTTTATAAGACTAACTGGAAATCCCCCATCATCTGTCAGTTGCTGTGATGTTGGAAGCTATGCCACCAGTATTTGAAATACCAGCAGGGTCACCCATGGTGGACAGGCTTCAGCAGAGCTTTCAGACTTAAGACAGACTATAAAGAAGGAATAGGCAGTTTACTCTTGAGGGAGTAGCCCCTGAAAATCTTATGAAGTGCAGTAAAACATTGTCTGATCCAGTTCTAGAAGATGAGCCCCTCAGTGGGAAGACGCTCACAAATACAACGGCAAGAGCAGCCTCCTCACAGGATTGCTGATCTTAATGACGCGGTGGAGCAGTGCTATCCAGATCTTCATTTGCTGATGGGACTCGACTCAGTATGAAAAGACAGCTGTAAGCATCTATTAGTAATCAGAATATGGAACATACAAAACATGAATGAAGGAAAATGGAAAGTGTCAAAAAAAACTGGAAAGCATAAAGACTGATCTCCTAAGTACAAACATATGTGGCACCAACCATTCCTCTCCCAGCCCGCTCTACTCAGCTGGGTTTGATAATCCATTGCAGTGGGCACACAGCTCAGAGACAGCACTCAGGGGCTTATTAGGGAAGTTAACAGGTTCCAGGTCATGGTCAGAAATGCTCAAGGCACCATCAGCTGCAGGTAATTGTCCACAGGACACACACACACACTCCACCATAAGCCTCAGCCTGATGGCACTCAGCTTTAGCTCCAAGGGTCAGCAATCCGAGCTCCCTCCCTCACTAAAGTGCCCCATGGGCTGGGAAGTCCACTGCTCGGTCTCAAGCTCTGCTTGGTGAGTCTTCCGCTGTGCTTCTCTGACACTCTTCTGGTGTCACAGCTCTCTGTCATTACCCAAGGATCTCAGGGTCCAAAGGATGCACTTCACCCCTGGCTCCTCTTCTTCTTCTTTTTTTTTTTTTTTTAAGTCGTTAGCATTTATTTTTGTCATTTGGGTTCTGAACAAATATAGAAATTAAAAAACAATGAGTAAAGAACAAACAAGATGGCGGATCGGGTGGACGTGTAGTACTGAGCTCCACCAACAACAACACAGAATACCCGACTAAGCAGGCTCAGGGGCTGGTCCCAGAACTCTGAACCACATATAAAGGAATAGTTAGAAGGTTGGAAGGCTCACAGCTGGGGGAATTTGTGGCAGAAGGAAGAAATCCATTGCTTTCTAGTCTGGGACGCTTGGCTGCTCCAGG